AGAAATTAAAAATCACGTAAGATAAACATTTTTATATCCAAGATCATCAAAATATTTGATTAAACCCTGGTCAACCCAGGGTCAACCCAGGTCAAGCAAAGGTTTGACCCTAACCCGACGGGTCGGGTTGAATATAGGACTCGTATCAAATAATGATAAACTCAATTCAGATTTTAAACACGAGTCGGGTCAAATGACCCAGGTTTGACCTGACCCTTTTGGAACACTACCTGTGTTGTTATATCTATCACTCTTCTGCAAAATCATATCATCATTTTTGGTCGAAAGGAGCTGTGCTAAAGAGATTTAATATTTTTTATAATACATACCTTAGACATAGAGTTAAATTGTGACAAGATTTTCTCTAGCTTTTTTTTACTATTTAAGTGGATCTCACCACATATAGTTATAGCATCCTGAAGCTCTTGACGATATTGTGATTCTGCCATATTAACGTTGTTTCTTCTCAAAATTTTAACACTCAGTAGGTAAATATTGGGAAGCTATTCCTTGAAATATAATACACAGTTTGGTTGGTTGCGGTTGAGGTAAAAATAATTTTCAGACATTTTAGAAATAATAGTTTATTAATGCGAATAAAATTACTATAAAACGACAAATATTCTAAATTTCGTTTACTGCCCATTTAAATGCCTCACAATTCTCATTCATGTCTTCTCTAGGCGTTAGGTTATGGAGTGGGCACTTCGAGAGAGAAAATAATAAATGATAACGTAAAAACTGAAAAAATGTATTTTTTTGCGCCAATTTTTTTCAGAAAGAAAATAACATGCATTATGAGGTAATTGGTTGTTGCTTGTCATACAAATACAATTTTTAGGTTGATCGAACAATTGTCAGTAAAATCGCATTTAGATATAGCATATATTGGTTAAAAATATCTAGCCCGAGCCGAAGGCGCTTTGCATGTGGGCAAAAATAATTTATTAAATGCTTTATATATGATATGTTCACAGGCGCAGTAAATGAAGTGCAGTAAGCACGTGATGGTCACGTTGGCGTCAACTCGAGGGACGCGATAGGCATTGGAGAAATATTCTATAATGTTATGAATTTGTGTGGAGGTTAGCTTTGAAATGTAATCCGCACTATATGATTTAACTTGCTTGATTTTTGACATTCCTATCCCCCTAATTTCTTCACAAGATGTGGGGTGACAGTTCTGTCCAAACAACTTATAAATATTCCTAGCTTTGGCGGTCTTCTTACGCAAACTATCTTTTGTAAAACCAGGTAAATGTTGTGCAACTTCTTCATATATTTGGGTTCTAGCTTGTTGATCATTAAGCCTGCTATTACTATTCATGATCTCCTTAACTCTTTTTTTAAAGCTTTTTGCGAATCGATATCAACATCAATACAAAATTTCATCTTGGTTGGCCTTCATGATACATTTTTCCGCGAAACTTGCTTTTTTATATAATCGAGTTAAATTTTGTGAAATAGATCCCCCACCTTCTTCACTATCATTTTCTTCTTCAGGTTCTCCTTAGCAGATATAGACAATTCTTGCAACAAACCTTGTACCTTGTTCTGTTCACGAAAAATTTTGGAAGATGATTCCTTTGATGACTGAATTTGTGCATTGTCAGTATTGTCTCTAGCTGTTTGATTAGTTAAATTATCTGCAGAACTTTCCACATCTATAGTAAGACTTGTTGTTTGATCATGCGTAATAG